CAACTCTGGGGCTGTACCAAAGCTAGTAATCTACTTATTATCCAGAGATTTCAAAATAAAGTACTGAGAAACATTGTTGATGCTCCTTTGTATATCCGTAACAGCAACCTCCACCAGGACCTGGGTATGGAAACTGTGATCGAACTAATCAAGAGAACAGCAGCAAGTCACGAGCAGAGGCTGCATAGTCATGTGAATGTCGAGGCAATCCAGCTTCTTGACAACACTGAACTAAAGAGAAGACTCATAAGGACAAAACCATTTGAGCTAGTGTAAATGTGTAACAGTTTAGTGTAAAAAGCAGAGTATAGTGCTGTGAAGTTATTGCATGCTAGTTGTAGTGCATTATTTAATAGATAAAATAAGAGTAAGCCATAGGGTAAACCATCGAGCAATAAGACAAAAGAGGGAATCTAATCGTTATGAAAAGGAGACCAAAAAAGTGGCCTCTGATGGCGGACATATCCGGAAATGCAAATGCGCCAAATTTAAATTTCATGACACTTGACAATAATCATACAGTGGTGTAGGGGTTCTAATTTATCTATTTATTTATTTTATATTGCATAATATTTTATATTATGTATTTATTTATTAAAATTATTTATTAAAATACTTTTTTTGACACTAGAACACACACTAGGACGATAATAGTCTAAAATGTTAAACAATTGTTAAAAAACTTCAATAGAAAATATAAATAAGCTTTCATGTGACAGTTTTGACAAACAATAACATCAACAATAACATAACCCAACTAAATTTGATTTCTTAAACAAGGAAAGAGATTCTCTTTCCTTGTTTAAAGTGCTCTCTCAAAATAGCACTTCCTGTCTCTCAATATGTTTGCCCCCACTACCTTTACATTCCCTCTTTTGTCTTATTGCTCGATGGGGTAAACCCTTAGATTTAAGTATTTGTTATGTTAGGTCAGAAAATAACTGATAATTGGTCATTTGTGACCAGATAGCAGTATACAAACACCGCGCATGTGTTAATAAAAAAAAAAAAGAGAGAAGATTTACCAACTTTTTTAGAAGACATACCTCCAAATTAAATTTGAGACGTAACTCTTGGTACATGCATGATGGTGCACCACCACATTATAGCCTAAAAGTTAAAAATTATCTAGATAAAATTTATCCTCAAAGTTGGATTGGTAGAGGTAGTTCCTTTACTAGTAGCTCCTTTAGTTTAGTCCCGAACTAAATCCCCTAGATTTTCACTTGTGGGGCTACCTAAAGTCACTTGTTTATATAAAAAAATTAATATCCGTCAAGAGTTATGGCAAAATATTGTAGAGGGAGTTAACGTAATTAGAGCCCAAAGAAATTCATTATTTAAAATAAGACAAAACTAACACAAAATATTTAGATTATGTAGTTTATCTAATGGTGAATATTTTGAACACTTATTGTAATTCTTTAAAAAAAAACCAACACACGTCGACAAATATTTAAATGACATGAATATGTCATTTAAATATAACATCAAAACAACATTTAAGGCAACCACTACACTGAGATCTATTCTGTGCAAAACCAAACCTAACACACAAGAAAGATCAAAGAACTGCATCTATAAAATACCCTGTGAATGCAACAACTTTTATGTGGTAGAAACCGCAAAACCATTAAGTGTCAGGATAAACAAGCATGAAAGACATCAAAAACACAGACTTCGACAAATCGCAGATATCTGCAGTGTCATAAAACTTAAGTCAAAAAGCCTATCGAATATAATAGACCCCAGGTTCTTATTTTTGTTGACTACCCCAAACCATTTGGCCCAGTCAAAACAGTCGCTATTTTAAAAGTACTATTAGAAAGCAGTATATAAATATATACGTACAAATATATACGAAAATGTAACAACTCCAAACCTTCTTTGACAGAGAAGATAAAAATTAGCTGAGCGGTCCGGCAGGGAACGTATTACAAGGAAAAATGGAGATGGCAGGACATGTTGCAAGAATGAATACAGCATAATGTACCTATAATGATTTGTCCACTGTTGAATAATTTATTTCAAAGTTTCCAATTTAAACAATATAAATCATGTTTGTTTCTGGCCCTTCCTCTCAATGCAGTAGGCTTTATATCATTCTAATGTTCCTGTAAACATGTCTCATCTACCTGTCTTCTAGGTCACGCTTTCTTATTCTTTCTGAAAATTTTCGACAAATTTTTATTAAGTATTATTCTTGTTGTGTGTTAATCCCCATACTTTTTTACAATTTAGTACGCTTTTAGGATTTTCTCTGCTTATTAATTGAAATTAATCTTCTTTTTTGTTTTTTGTACGCCTTTAAGCCACATTTATTATTATTTTTTGAAATACGTATTAGATATTTATGCTGTAATTAATGAAGTAAAATGTTAAAAAAATATAAGCAATTTTAGGTCTCTAATGCCCCCATAGTCTTGACTTCGCCACCTCTTCTTTCCACGAATGCTGTGGTTGTCAGTTCTGGTTTTACGGGGCCGATCTCCAGCGGACAGGTATCTGTAGTAACCAGTGGTATAGGTAGTTCGATAGCCCAAACTATTCCAATTGGAAACAGTATTGTACATACGCCACCACCCATGCCAGCTACTGAACATGTCATTTCCAATAATGTTGCAATTTCAGGTAAGTGTTCGAATAATATTTAAATTTTACTTCTTTATAAATTGGATAAGTGTACTAATTAACTCGAGGTATCAAAGATAAAGTAAAATAAAGTTACCGCGCAGCGACACTGGTTTGACAAGTAATAATATGTATATCATTATATATCTATCGAAGCATGCTTTAAGAACTCACACAATTGACACTTCAAACCAGTAACATTGAGTCCGAGCGGATGATCTGAGTACGGAGGCTGAGGACCCCCATGTGGTGCCACATATCTTTTGGACTATATTATTTCGCGTTTTCAGTTTTGCTGCCGTTCTTTGTAGGTGTTCTTTAAAACTTACTGTTCTGTCCAGGGTCACTCCAAGATATTTTGGTGTTGAGCTATTAGTGAGCAGTCCGTTTTCAAAGTGAACGGAGAGTTTTTGTTGGCTTGGGTATTATTCAGATGAAAACTACACACTTCGATTTTCGTTGCATCGGGCCGAAGCCTCCATTTGCGAAAGTATTCTCCCATAACGGCAAGGTCATCCGTTAGTATTGTTTTTGTAATATGCATGTTATTATGTCTTGCTGCAATGGCCCAGTTTTCAACGTAGCCAAATTTTTGCGAAGTTGTCCCAGGTAGGTCCGCGATATATAAATTAAACAGTAAGGTCGTCCGCACATGGGTCGACGCTCGAAGTCGTCGACTCGATTTCAATCGCGTAGGTCTCTCCCCACCGCCCAAGTTCCTTCGTTGTTCCATGGAGCTCCGCAGACGGGGCGTTTAGTGGTCGTCTAGAATTGCAAGTCTCCTCGTCTTGTACGACTCTCGTCACATGCGATCGGTAGCGCACGAGAAAGTTCGAGTGAGACGCACGTTTTCAGTCATGGGGATAAGGTTATTGTATTTGCTTTCTTCGTTTCTTATTGTTTTTTGCCCTAAATATTTTTTTTTAAATCGACCAATATTATGTTCTTTGTTTATAGTACTACTTTGTAGAAATATATTGTTTGTAAAATAAAATTCTGAAAACATTTAATTTCTGTTTCTAGGTGTTTAATATAAAAACCGTTCGGGAAGTGTAAAAATACCCTTAATTGTATAATTATACAATGAAAGAATATGCCAATATGTATATATAAAAAATGCGTTCTTCCTGGTTGGCAGATATGAGCAAACATCAAACTGAATCGACTAGTGTGCGGTGAACAATCGCTTGTGCAGCAGGGTTCGTATAAGACGAGCACGACGTATGAACTTAGACGCGTGCCTTCGATCGACCCATGTGAGGACGGCCTAAGGGTGCCAAAACAGATCCCTTGATGGCCCTGGCAGTCCATTGCTGAGTTTCATTTGGGCACTTTTAAAGTTACCCATTGTGACTTGAAAATGTCAGTCGGTGAGCATGCTATCAATGAGTTTAGTTACCTTTTGACACGGGATGGCACGGATTAGTTTGCAGATTAGTCCTTGACAGTCCTCCAGACAGTATTGTATGCAGCTGATAGGTCAATGAAAGCAACGGATGTTTTTTACTTTCTCTGAAAACCTGCTTCAATATATGTTGTTAGGGATATGGTCTGATTTGTGCAGCTGCGGTTAGGTCTGAACTCTGCATGCACAATAGATTTCAATTCAAATATATTTCTACTAATTCTGTTGTAGATTAAGTGTTCCAACAGTTTATAGACACAGCTCAGCAGTGCAATCGGCCGGTAGTTTTCGGGCTGATCATTTGACTTTCCTGGTTTCAATATGGCTGTAATGAAGGCCTTTTTTTAGTGAATGGGGGATTTCTCCTGATTTTAACATATCTATATAGAAATCAGCCAGCCACCTCCTAGCATATTTGTCACAATGGAGTAAAAATTCTGGATGGATTATATCGAAGCCGGGTACCTTTCCAAACTTAATTTCTGATATTGCTAAAATAATTTCTTCTGGAGCAAACTCTTCAGAATATTCAGATGTAGACGGGCATGCAGACTTTAGTATTTTTAGTTCTTGTTTTACTTTGGCGGTGTGGTTATGATCTCTAGGTGCTCTTGAGATTGCTACAATGTGGGAGGCTAACTACAATGAATTGTATATTAATAATATGTAATAATTTTTATTTTTAGGCAATGTTAATGTAAGTGGACCCACTACGGTAATATCACGTCGCAACAATACCAGTGTCACTCTAATAAATCAAAACTCAGTGGCCAATCAACGTATGAGCGTCTTCGAACCTTATCCAATGAGAGACACGATCCAGCACTTCTGTGAGAAACATCTGGACAAAATTAAAAGCTACATGGAGAAAGTTTCGATAAGAATACCATCTCCCGCTAAATGTACCATAGAAGAGAAGAGACAGAAGAAGTCTGCTAAATTACATTTCGCTTGTCAAGCTAGAGGACAGCACTGCCTATACTCGAAGACTTATTTTACTATGAGAACTAGGAATCCAAGGATTTGGATACATCTGATGTTTATATCTTTACAAGTAAGTGTAATTTATTGTTATAATTAGTTTACCTTAATGTTTTAGATCGGTACTTAAATGTTTACTCTTCATACACCCTTTGTTTTATTCTAAGAGGAAAAAATTTTTTTTCTATAAACAAAATGTTTACGGAAAAATTTGAATCCTGATCAAATATCTTCCTTATGTTTTCAGCAAATAATATATTATTTTGAAAAATATCAAACATAGTTATGGTTAATATGTATAAAACATTTTAAAACATTTTCAATTTTTTCAGGCTCGTCATTCCCATGCTTTAAGTTCTCGAGACGCTCAAGTAGCGTCACTTAAACACTGTTGGGATATCCTAAAATGTGAAAATAAAACATTTCTCACCGTGGTGACCAGCGCATTTCCTTGCACCAAGGACCAAGACTCGATACTTAACGAACTACGTCATTCGGGCTACTTCGATGTTTTTCAAGTGTGCCCTCCAAATATTACGCCATCGGACACACTAGATTTTCCTGGAATAGGAGGAGTTATCTGGGGTTGCTTCTTATGTGCACATCCCGAGAAAGCAGTTGGATTCTTGAGAGGTGATACAAGGCCGGTTATAGAGGGCCAGTTGAAAGAGAAGAAGGGAAAGTGGCGATTGTTTAGGAGGTGGAGAACGAGATATTTTACTTTGTCTGGAGCTCATTTAAGTTGTCGAGGATCAGTAAGTAAAAAATACAATATTAAACAAAAACATAATGAAACAACAAATCCCTGTTATATACATTGGATTTTTTTTAATATCAAAACTAGGTTAAGTTTCTTATTAAATAAAAAACAAAGAAATAATAGAAAGCAAAATTAAATGATTTTATAGTCGAGTTTTGACACGAATCATGTTGGTCATCTTCATTTGTTTTAGCATATCTTTTTAGAAGTCTAGTTGTGGTAGATTTCAACAATTCGCTTAACTAGTAAACCATTAATACAAACTTTATCGCATTTCAGTTTCTTTCTTACTATTAGCCTAAACAATGAACGATGATACAATTTTCTTTACAAACAACTATGGGTCCACATGAATGAGGCAGATAAAATAAAATTATTAGAAGTTTTTTTTATTACCATCGTATCGATTTGTTTAATTTGCAGAAAAAAATCAAATAAACGTATTTTAAACCGAAATTGTGGTTAATTTCAGTTAAAGGTAGTAATTAAATATAAGCTGCTAATGTATTTAACGGAAAATACCTAAATCACCTTAGATATGCGGATGATATACTCCTGATCTTCTCGGAACGACAAGAACTGGAATTAATGCTGAATGAACTTCATGAAAAATCACTGCAAAAAGGCCTAAAAATTAACTTCAACAAAACAAAAGTAATGACAAACACGGAAGACCAAGAGGCAATAAAAATAAAAACAAAAAAAATACAACAGGTAAATGAGTATATCTATCTAGGACAAGCAATCAGAGCTAACAGAGAAAATCAAACAGCCGAAATATCGAGACGAGTAAGAATGGGATGGGCAGCGTTCGGCAAACTTTCTTACGTTCTAAAAAATCAAACAATTCCTCTATACTTACGAAGCAAGGTATATAACTCCTGCATAATACTGGTGCTCACCTACGGAGCACAGACATGGACATTTACACAGGCCAATTTGGATAGGATAAGGAAGGCACAAAGAGCGATGGAGAGACAAATGTTGGGTGTATCACTTAGAGATAGAAAACGTAACCAGTGGATCAGAACCAGAACAAAGACAGTAGACGCGATAGAACAAGCAGCAAAACTGAAATGGAAATGGGCTGGGCACAATGAACGTCTCCAAGACGGACGATGGAACAATGCCATCGGAAAGTGGCGTCCATACAATGCAAAGGGATCAAGAGGCAGACCACAGATGAGGTGGAAAGATCAGAAAACAAGGAGGTCCCACATGGCAGAGAACAGCTCAAGATAGGGAAAGATGGAGAGAACTGGGGGAGACCTATATCCAACAATGGAAGGATAGAGAATAGGTTCAAAAAAAAATGTATTTAACAACTACTGTTATTCCTCTGTGGCACGACGATCTTACTTTATAGAATTAACTGCTGTTTTGATTTCTTCTGCGGCTTTTAATTTCTCAGTATTATCATTACTGTCTGGTTCTCCTTCGCTCTATTCTTGAAATTTCTGTTACTTTCTGTTAATAAGGTTTGGCGAATTTGATGTTTCAAGTTGATAGGTATAATAATACTATCGCTTGACAGTTTCACTCTCAGTATCTACTTTTGTTTAACTATAATTTTCGAATTTAATCATAATAGCCGACACCTTTGCTTTTTTAGTTGCATTCACGTATATTTTCAGATGTGTTTTCTTTATCTTTAACTGCGTTCTTTATCTTAATAGTTAAATAGAAAGGGCAATTGATGGTAGCAAATACGTTTTCAGTACCAGCATCATTTATGCTGGTTTAAGCCCTGCTCGATGTATACGATCGAGCTGTGTCTGCATCTCGTTGAAGGCTACCCTGGTCTGTCCTAGAGCGTTATACTTTAGACCTAGGTATCCAACCAGCTCACTCGGTTGCAGCTGCCGAATCCTGTGTTGCCGACAGAAAATAGAGAACACCTTACGCAGTAAGAGTATTTACTACCACGGTTGACGTTAACCGTAATAGCTGCACTCTTACCAGCGTTTATCGACATTCCTCTCTTCTCGAAGAAATCGACGGCTGTCCGAAGCTGTCTGGTACCATCTTTGGCCGATTCGGATAGCAGGATTAAATCGTCAGCGTAACCCAGCACTGAGATTTTCCTGCCATCTGCAATTGGAAGGCCAGGCTTGTCTCCCTCAAGCTTGCATATCAGCTCATCGACAACCATGTTGAAGAGGTAGGGCGACAAGGGATCTCCCTGTTTGACGCCTCTACTCATCTTGATGCTCGATGTGTACTTGCCTCCGGCAGCGACCCTCGTACGACAATTCAGGTACGAGTCCACCACATACTGCTTAAATGTCGCGTCTAACCCGAAACGATTCATTGCTCGTTCAATAGATCGTTGTGAGACCGTGTCGAAAGCTTTTCGTAAGTCGATGGATATTATGTTGTATGGACGAAGGCCTCTTCTTCATTATTTGATTACCGTTTGGAGCGTCAAGTTGTTCAATAGAACGCCATCTACCTGATGAAAGCCTCTGTGGAGCTCGTGGAAATCTAGCACCGCAAGGCTCTTCCCTAGCAAGCGATGCAACACCCTGATCATTACTGAAGATATGGTTATCGGACGCCAATTACCTACCTCCAGTAAATCGCCACCCTTTGATATCAAAGTGGTAGTGCAATCTTTCAATACCTCAGGAGTAACACCAAACTGGAGCATGGTATTATAGACTAGAACCAATTTCTGAACAGGTTTCTTACGCAGCTCCTTGATCTTAATGAAATCATGATCTTCTGCTTGAGATTTCATGGTTTGTAAGACCCCGAGGATTTTCGCTTCTGTTACAGCATGGCTGATCAGTAGCGGTTGCTTCTGATCTCAAATAGATTCGTCATCTGTAGGCGATCTTGATGAAAAGATCGTCCGATATTCCCAGTCAACAGCTCTGATGTCAGGGTGTACATCATTGTCAAAGAGTGGCTTGTCATCTATGATTGCCCGAGCCAGAGCGGATCTGTCGGTATGGTATCGGGTTTGGGTCAAACGGTATCGTTGAGCCCTTCGATGTCGTCTATTTTCGATAGTCGGGACGTTAGAATCTTTAGAAATCTGGTGTTGTTTAGGCTGCTGTTTTCGCTTCCGGCACTCGCAGTGACAAACTCTGCGGCGATATACTCATTTAAAATAGACCTGACGTTCTCACGATATCGCGCAGCATTCGTGTATTAAGTATACCTGTATAACTGTTGTTCTACTTCCGACCATCCGTTCTTTCTGTTGAAATAATCGTTCATGTAAGAGGTAATCGTCTCACGGTCTCTTTTTTTTATCTTTAACTGCGTTCTTTATCTTACCAGTGAAATAGAAAGGGCAATGTCCTAGTCTTCTTCTATTCTCTTATTGTTCAATCCTAAAGGTTCATGTGCTGCTTGACAATATCATGTTTTATTATGTTGTAATCTTTATCATGTACACATAGTTTCAAAAGTTATACATCTTCCAAAATGTTCACTATACTGTTATAGATCATTTATAAAAAAAAATATAATAACGTTGACAGATATGTATCTAACAATTTTCGAAGTCTTACTGTTCACACGTCAATCAATCATTTCCTGTAGCAGATTCTCCCATTCTTCTCTACAGGCAATTGCAAGTTTATGATGGGTTCTATGAGGATTCCTTTGGACATGAACAGCTCTGAAGGACATTCCATGCATGTTCAATGGGATTCATGTCTGGAGACATCGCAGGCCACTCCAAACGGCGAATACCTTCTGTCTCATATCATTAACCGCTTGAGTTCTCTGTGGGCGGGTGTTATCATCCATAAATACATAATTTTCACCCACAGTTCCTTGCGAGACTCTCACATGAGGGTCTAAAATATGTGTGATGTGCCTTTGTCCTGTCGCGCAATAACCACCAATTCCGTGTGTGCATCTGCCATAATACCTTCCCAAAACATAACACTGCCACCAGCGAAAGGAAGCAGAGGACGGGCATATGGTAATTGTGCAGCTCTTGTTTGCTCTGGTTAAACACGAATTCGCCTTCTATCAATATTTAAATAGATTCTGGTCTCGACTGAAAAAAACACAACATTCCAAAACTGTCGAGAGAGCTGTGTCTGATCTTGAGCTCACTGGAGGTGGTGTCTAGGTTGTAGCTGAGGAACTCTTATTGGTCGACGACTCTTCAAACCTGACACACTGAAGTTTCCTTGGAGGGCTGTCTGGCAATATGTTCGTCCCAGTTCCATTTGATGATAGCTATACAATAAATTCCACAACACCTCTTCTTAATAGTTTAGTATTTTATCTCTGATTAAGCTATCAATAATGATCATTCCATCGCTTATTGTGTGACTTGCTTTGCTAATGAATTACATTTATTAGAACTAATATTTTTCCACAGCTTAAAATAATAGGGTGCATTAACTAAAAATATTTCTTTTTAGAAAGATTAGATTATGAAAATTGAAAACTCGTCCCGAACTAGACAAATATCATCCCTTAGATATGTGAGTTGTTAAAATGGTATCGCTTTTAACTTAACTGCCAATATTTTGGTTCCAGTTCCATTTAATGATCATCATCATCACCCAACCCTCTACGTCCACTGCTGGACATAGGCCTCCCTCATTTTGAGTAGGGGGTCTTCTTCTACTTCTTTTGTCTAACCTCGGCCTCCACTCAAGCAATCTCTTCGTTCACCTTTCATCACTGATTCGGGCGACGTGTTCGGCCAGTTCCATTTTAGTGTGGCAATTCGGGAAATTACATCGGTAACTCCCGTTCTTCGTCTTAAGTTTTCATTTCTAACTCGGTCACGAAGCGATATACTCAGCATTGACCTTTCCATTTTCTTCTGAGCTATTAGATAAAAGACATTGGCTTGGACGGCAGAGATGTTCGAATAATTGCAAATTTATATTGCAATCAAACTACATCAGTTTCAGTAGATGGTGTGGAATCACAAGCTCTCAATATTAAAAGAGGAGTACGGCAGGGATGCCTCTTGTCACCCCTGCTTTTTAACGTTTACTCCGAAAGAATTTTCAGAAAAGCACTTTCTGAAAAACAAGAAGGAATACTTGTAAACGGCGAAGTCGTCAATAATTTGCGATATGCGGACGATACAGTACTCCTAGCTTCTAGTCAAGAAGATCTGCAAACACTACTTGATAGTGTCGTTGAGAGTTGTAGGGAGGCAGGTCTGGATCTTAACATAAGGAAAACCAAAATACTTGTAATAAGTAAAAACCGAATATAAAACCGTCTATATATGTAAATAATACCAAACTTGAGCAAGTTGATAAAATCGTCTACCTTGGACAGCAATTAAATTGTAATGCAGAAAATCACGGCGAAATTAGATCCAGAATAGAGCAGGCTAGAGCTGCTTTTAGAAGGATGTCCAAGGTGTTATGTAACAGAGACCTAAAATTGGCATTAAGGATCCGCCTACTTCGCTGCTACGTGTTCTCGGTCTTACTTTATGCTGTCGAGTCCTGGACTGTGAATAAAATCGATCTAAATCGCCTTGAGGCTTTCGAAATGTGGTGCTATAGAAGAATTTTAAAAGTTTCCTGGGTGGAGAAGATTCGTAACTCCACAATACTTGAACGTCTCAGCAAGACCACTGAGATCATAAAAAGCATCAAGCAGAGAAAGCTGGAATATTTCGGACATGTAATGAGAGGTCCCAAACATAGATTGCTACAAAATATCATGCAAGGAAAAATAGCAGGCAAACGCAGTCCAGGACGAAGAAGAACCTCATGGTTGAAGAACTTGGGAGATTGGTATGGTGTAGATACAAGCATGCTATTTAGGGTGGCAGTGAATAAAATTAAAATAGCTATGATGGTAACCAACGTTCTGAAAGGACATGGTACATGAAGAAGAAGTTAAATAGTAAACTAAAAAGAGGCCTAAATTCCGCACAAAGTTGTTTAAGTACTTTTTTATTTTGTCAAATAAAGGATGGGGGAGAGTGGGAAAGTATTTGTGGATAAATACCTATAACTTTGGTTTGGATCAACCGATTTTAACGAAATTAGTGTCATTAGAAAGAGTGTGGATGAATTAATTTACATCGACTATAAAAGAATTGCATTTAGTTTTAATTGTCATAAGTATGCAAGTGCCTCCGATTTTGATTGCATCAGTAACTATACAATCTTCGCCCGGAGATTTGTTTTTCTTAGCTTTTTTAGGGCTAGTTTTATTTCGTCTATTGTGATTTCCGGTACTAGTTCTGATTCTTGGTTGACAATGCCCTTTTTTCTTGTTAATATTTCTGGTATTTGATCTTCTCTGCTATTTGCTTTATGTGGGCTGTGTACCGAAATTTGTAGAAGTCTTCAACTATTTTAAGGGTCCCCTTTCTGTTGATTGTAAGATGACGATTTCTATCTTTAATCTTTATTATCGACCTTGTCCACGTTCTTTGTCTTTTTCTCAGTACTTTCATACTTCTATTGTTCTCAATGGCATGTTCGATTTGTTCTTGGTTGAATTTTCGAGTGTCTTGTCTAACAGCTTTGGATATTTCTTTATTGTTTATTCTATGTCTGTTTATTCTTTTTGTCTATATTATTATATATTTTATTTATACATAGTTTATTCTATACTATTTTTGTAGTTCGTCGGCTTTAGTTTCCGTCTCGCTTCTCATTTTTTTTGCATTAGTTGCCTGGTATTTTAGCTAAACTTCTTTTTTTTAGATCTAGGACAGAATTTGAATTTCCAGTAAAGCATTTGTTAATTTATTATTTAAGTCGTTTATATTATTTTCTGTTTCAGGACTACTAAGTATATCGGAAATACATTACTTAAAACTATCTACATCTGATGGTTTCATCTATGGTTTTGATTTGTTCTTCTTTTTAATCATCCTTTACCTCTTCTTCTTTAAGCTTATTTCTATTTTACCTCGTACCATTCTATGATCGCTACTAGTAACAAATCTGTTTAGAACCTTTACGGTGATTTGTCGATTTTTTGTCCATGATTGTGATATTTATTTAAATCCTGAATCTACTTCTTTGTGATATCTTAACATTGATTACCGCCAGCTTAATCTGGTAGCTAAAAAAGATAGTTGTCCCATCGCCGAAATACTCTCTCCGAGTCTCGTTTGCCCTCTGCGCTAGACCTAAAAAGTGGATACTGGTTAGTAGGAATGTATTCAGCTGATCGGTGGAAAACTTTGAATAGAATGTGATCTTTGGCAATTCATAGTTATGCCATATGGTGGTTTAAGTAATGCTTCCTTTACATTTGAGAGACTAGTGGACTACCCGGCAGTTTTCAAAGAGCTGACATGGCAAACATGTTTGGTTTATTTTAGATGATGTGATATGGAGGAAGTGTTCCAAGGATTACATGCAGCTAATTTAAAACGGTGTCTCTTAACTATATTTATTTATTTTTTTTTTAGAGTGGTGGTGAATCCATTGATGTCAACCAGATCCGATCAGTGAAAGTGTCTCGCGGAGCAAGGAACATACCAAAAGCATTCGAAATATTTACAGAAAATCAAACCTTGATCCTGAAACCGAAAGATGGAAAGAATGCAGAGGAGTGGGTTCAATGTTTAAGTATAGTCGTCGCACATTCACATGCGAAAGAGTTGCCTAACAAAAGTAATTCGTTGCCTGCGAGAGGTATCAGCTCTAGTCGAACGGTCATGTGAAGTTTTCAACATTATTATTGTTATGACTGAATTAACTAAAACTTGGAAAACTTGCCATCATTAATGGTATGGTACATAAATCTATTTACGTTATGTAGTAATAACGTGTCACAAACTCGTCATGGTATTGTTTATATAAAAATAGTTCAGTTGATACATATAATTATTGAATTATTGAAAATTGTGTGTTCAGCAAGCGTTAACTTCGTATATTTGTGTAATAAAAAGTAGAGTGTGTGAGTGCAGTACATCGAACGTCATTTGTAGGAGTCTCAGATGAGAAACACTAATCTCTTTTTCAATAATAAGATAAAAAGAAAGATACAAAAATAATAGATAACTGGCTGATATCAGGTAAAAAGAATAATATAAATCAAGTAAATACATCCAATATCAATACGGCAAATATTTTTGGAATAGTATAGAGAAACAGCAATTTCTGCATATAATTGTAGGTCTCGAACAAACTTATCGATATTTTTTTGTAAGTTTAACCACATCCACGTGATTACGTTAGTTGTTCTTACATCAGACAATTAAGTCCGCCACTCACGTTCCAACGCCGCAGTACGACTTATTTTAAGGAGTACTATTTTTGTTGACAATAAGCCACATTTTTTACTTATCGAATCGTCAAATAAGATTAATTGACGATTAGATTTATTAGAGATAGATTTATTATTATTATTTATTTATTATTTATTATATTAGAGACGCAATATCTCCAAAATTATTTACATCTCCCTGACGTATTTCTACATCATTTATTAAACTTAAAAAGTTTCTTTGTTGTCGGGATATAAGGTTAGAACTACGCCTGAGAATGCTTCGATGTTACGTGTTCTCTACTCTTCTTTATGGTCTGGAAGCTTGGACACTAAAACAAGTTCATCTGAATAAGCTGGCCGCCTTTGAATTTTGGTGTTACAGAAGAATCCTACGAATATCATGGATTCAAAGAATGTCAAACATGGAAGTAACTAGAAGGATAGGAAATGAGGCGGAAATAATATTAACTATTAAAAGACGAAAACTTGAGTACTTGGGACATGTGATGAGAGGGCAAAAATACGCATTATTACAACTTATTATGCAGGGCAAAATCCGAGGAAAGCGAAATGTGGGAAGACGAAGAATATCCTGGCTTAAGAACTTAAGGGAATGGTTTGAATGCAGTAGTGCAGAACTTTTTAGAGCGGCAGTCAACAGAGTCCGCATAGCCATGATGATTTCCAACCTTCGATAGAAGATGGAACTTAAAGAAGAAGAAGACGTATTTCTCTCTCTTATTTCTTTGTCTAATGTTCCATCTTGTGAAATAGTGATACCTAGATATTTGTAGTCACAGCAGTGCTTTATCGTGGTGTTATCGTATAATATGTGATCTTTTTGTTCAACTCCAATGCACAGGTATTCGGTTCTCTTTTATTTACTTCTAGACCCCTATATCATACCCTTCAATTAATTTCCGTGCCATATAGTTTAAATCGTTATAATCTTGAGCCATTATTATTTGATATGTTAAAAGCAGTAATAGTTTGTGGACGATGGATGTTGCGGTCGCAACAGAAGGAAAATCTAGTTCCCCAAGAGCATTTACTAAAACATGACAATAAAGTATGCTTCTATATGCGTCTATATTCGTTGACATTACTGAAAACGTTTAATTGTCTACAGTACGTTCTCATAGCAAGACAGAGTCAAACTAGTTTTTGTAGTAGTAAAATAGTTTGAGTATTTATTGTTTGTTTTCTCACAAACGTTTTTAACACTTTATATTAAATTCAGTATGAAATTAAAATATTTAATGTTTGTAGGATTTATTTTTTCGGGCATGCGTATTTCAAGGTTCATAAAGTTTTGAAACATCCCTACTATAATTGTTCTGTAGAAATATATGAGCGATTTCATATAGATAAAACTGAGAGTTTGTGTTGACTATAAGTAATATTGTATTTTTTGCGTTATAAAGTACTTAATACTCTCTAAATTATCTGAAATATTAATTCAGCTTTCTAGAATATCTAAATAAGTCACAGAACATTGATAAATATTGATACCGCCATTTCAGCTAGATACTACTACCTGCATTTTTTTACAAAATAAAATTTTCACTTTAGTTATGCTGATTATGGTATGTTAAACGAACAATTTAACTTTAAGCACCTGAACAGGTACTTTGATTTGACTCAGTGGAACATGAAAAATTTAGTAATTGAATAACATTTTTATCGTATAAAGTATAAAGTGAAGTGCATGTTTTCTGCTCTTTCATAATCGCTTCGACGACTCAGTGGGCTGTTAAATACAATTTGAAGTGTGTAGTTGACTAGATTGAAGGTTTAAATCGCACGCTAGCCAGAGAAAACTTTCAAACATAAAAGTGTAAACTCAAAAAGGCTTGCGGTTTTAAATAGGAAGTCATGAGGAAATTGAGTCGACCTATGGTTGATCTATATAACGATCTATGCTGGGAGTGACGTTGCGGGATCAAATAAGAAACGAAGATCTGTGAAGAAGGACGAGTATTGCTGATGTTGTGGAACGCATAGCAAAATTACACATTGGAGCAAAAGCGCAGACAAACGTAGTAGAGGAAGACCACCTACACGTTGGGCTGACGACATCAGGCGTATCACAAAAAATTGGCAACAAAGAGCACAAAATGCAAATAATGGAGGAGTTTAAGGCAGGCCTATGTCCAGCAGTGGACGTGATAAATGAAGGCTGGATGATGATGATGGTTGAACAGTACTTTGAGAGGTGCAATCTCATGACTATGTGAACGCTCATTCATTGATCTCCACCGGAGTACGTTAAGATGGTAGAAAACCAAAACCTGGTGCTAGTAGTACATAGAAATATTTTTGTATCCATACTTTAAGGATTTGATAAAAAATAAAGTCAAAGTAAGTTAAGATATTCTTATAGCAGCTTACTTTAATTTTTCCGTTGTAAAACTAAAATTTCCTTAAGCAAGTCCAGATTAGCGAACAGTGTATCTATTAGAAAGTAGAAACAATACGCTTATCAATAAATCAGTCCAACTGGCGGCATATGCAGATGGCATAAATATCATGAGCAGTACCAAAGCAACAGGTGAGAATACGTATATGGATTTTAAATCACTTGCTAAACAAATAGGTATCTCAATAAATGAAAAACAAAACTAAAATCCTAGTACAAAGTCGATCGGAGAGAGTAACACGACCCTACCTGACAGTTGACAACTTAGAAAAAGTAGATAGCCTCATCTAGTTAGAAGTCAACATTACAAACGATAACATTGATGATGCAGAGCTTAGCAGAAGAATCATACTAGCCAATACGGCATACTTTGCTATGAGCCCAACATTTAAATCACGTGACGTACATCACAGCAATAAGATACGAATCTACAAGACCATAATCCGACCGATAGTGAGCTATTTGAAACTAGGTATTAACTTAAAAATATGTAAACCGTATACTAGGCCCTATAAATGAGAACAACAAATGACGAATCAGATAGAATTATGAAATATATAATATATAAATATAAAGAACCACCTTTATCTCAGTATGCCCGCGTGCAGCGTCTTCAATAGGCAGACCATGTATTTAGGATGAAAGAAAACGGCTTCCCAAAAAAAACTGTTGAATGCAATAATGCATGGAAAAGTCCTATTAGAAGACCGAGAAAGTCATGGGAGAATGATGTGGAGGAGGACGCTAGAAATCTCCTTGGTAGTCGATCGTGGAGGAGAATAGCTACTGACCATAACGGATGGAGAGGTTTGATGAGGGAGGCCAGGGCTCAAATAGAACTGTAGCACCCTAGGATGGATGGATAGATCAATGTCTATTTACGCAAAAATTATAAGACAAATCTCCTCTATGAATCTCAATGACAAAGACTTTGAGGAATTCTTAGAAACAGAAACGGCAATTTGGGACTCATTATTCAAAAAATATGACTGAACCACTTCCTTGTTAAGTAAAAACGGTAGAAGTATATTTTCCGGATTTCACAATCTTATTATTTGGAGATATAGAATTGTGTAATACAACCGAGAGGGGTGTATTTTGTCTCCTATGCTCTTCAATCTCTATGTGGAGAACATTTTTGTAGAGGCACTGGACGGCTCTGAGTGTGGAATAAAGTTAAACGGGTTCTCGATAAATAACATTCGTTACGCCGACGACACCCCGATAATAACAGACAACGAAAATGATATGCAGTTGATGGTAAATAAAATAAACACCGTAGGAAAAATATATGGCTTGGAGGTAAATGCTGGAAAACTAAATGCATGGCAATAAGAAAAAGAATACAACTGCAAGTAGATAATGCTACAATCAATCAAGAGAAAACATACTTAAATACTTGGGAATGATCATTAATGATTAATGGGATTCCCAACAACAAGAAATAAAATGCCGAAAAGCAACACAAGCTTTTATCAAATTTAAACCGCTACTATGTAACCGCAATCTTTCCTTCAATCGCTCCAGGATGGTTAAATGCTATGTATGGTCCATATTGTTATACGGCATGGAAACGTGAACGAGTTCCTTTCATTAATAAGTTAGAGGCCTTCGAAATGTGGACGTTGCGAAGAATGTTCCGCATAACATGGACAGATAGGGTGAGAAACGAGGAAGTCTTAAGAAAGGCAAATACTGAGAGAGAACTACTCAATTTGATCAATGTACGAAAAATTGGATACCTCGGTCATATTCTGAGAGGAAAAAAATACGCAATCTATCAACTAATCATCCAGGGAAAGATTGAAGGCAAGAGAGGAGTAGGTCGCAAACAAATGTCGTGGCTACGGAACATAAAGAACTGGACAGGCATAAATCACACTGGCGATCTTTTGCATGATGCAAAAGACAGACGTCTGGCCTTACGATAATTCGCCAACGCACTATGGGTGCACGGCACTATAAAAAGAAGAAATACAACCGAGCACAAAAAATGAATGTAGAGTGTTTTGAAATTTAAAAATTTACGCTCCCGAATAAATTTAGCCGATCTGCAGCTAGTCACCAATAATTCTGATACTTTCATATTGTCAGATTTTGTATATATCATGTATCAAAATTGATATTTTCTTAGTTATTCTTTTTTTTTTAACAATTTTGAATATTTTTTAAAAGTAGCTTATGTTTTTTACTAGTTCATATCGAAATCCGAAAGTCAATACTTTTAGAGTTAATTATGGTTTAATATTGACGGTAGTCTCACTTATTGTCTCTGACTCAAACACAAAGGTTACCATTACAAAAATTATGCACTTGCAAACTACTGTAAACGCCACATAGGAAGATCCAACTTCGCGCATATGGCGTGTGCCGACTGTATCCGAAGAGGTGGCGGGATTATGCCGACAGTGGCGTGATCATGCTTTTTATATAATTAATGGCACCAAAGAGTTACTGCTCAGCTACTGACACTTGGATAATTATGTAAACAAGCTTTTATTACTGTTGTGGAATAACAAATGGTACAACTGCATTTATGGAGAGTGCAACAAAACATTTATCAAAAAAAACAAGTAACATAGCAAATAAAAAAACTGAAGAAGGCTGGGCTGTAGGAATATACAGTAGTGGTGTATAAACATTT